TATGGTGTATAATAAACTTGCCTTGCCTGACTAGCAAGAATGAAAGACTCATAAGATCGAAGGTATCTTCTAGGATTAATGTCAACCAATTGATGTTTTTGATCCACTTGAACCCCTTGAGCAGGAGGAATCTCATACCAATCACATTTGAATAAAACAACTGCTTGTCGATGGATCGATCCATAATACTCAATTTAAATTATTTCTTGAAGCACACCATAAAAATCATAATCTGATTCAGTACCAATAGATCCGACAACACAGCAACCATAATTCATTGTTCGCTTATTTCTACCATAAAGGGCAGTGTGAAATCGGAATCCATTGACAATATATCCATTATAGCAAGAAATTTTTTTGGACCGTTGGATAAACCTTTGATATGCTCATGGACATTAATGAACTCATCACTAATTACCTAAAATATATAGATTGCAGAAGAAAATGTTAGATGCATTTGAAGAGAAATAACATATATATGTTAAGGAATTGAATAGTCATATTATTAAATATTCACAGCTTGTTCAAACTAAAGCACAAGGTCTCTCTCTCGTTTTGTTTGAATTTGTTGAGTATTCATATTTTGACATTGTTCTTTCTCAAATAAACTAGAAAATATGATAATAGTTTTTTATATATTGTTAGTATTTTAATTTCAATAAATCTTAATATAACAAATTAAAGATTTTAGTGTAGATTTTTTACCTGACCCATCATCGCAATTCTTCGCAATTCATTAACACATGATACGAAGCAGCTTTGCGTTCCTCTACCGTCAAGCAACGTCTTCCAATTTTGGAACCAATACGTTTTCCAACACATTTAAAGATGGATAGACCATTATTATCACCAAATCCAACAACAATATTCCTAGGGGGATTATCAATTGTACTATGTACTCCATCATCAAAGTAATGAGAGATAAAATTTGTGATCTTAGACATTATGTAACTTTCACATATGGATGCTTAAGGACGTACTTTGTTTTTCATCATCAACTTAAGACAATGCATTCGCCTGATTCACCAAGAATTATTATATAATTATGTTATGATTAAAATACTAATTTGGTACCTCAACTTCTAAGTTTTATCAAATATACCCTTATAATTTTAAAAAGTTTCAAAATGGTCCTTTAAAAAGTTTCAAAATGGTCCTTTAAAGGACCATTTTTAATTCTTTTTTAAGTTCAATGGTAGCTTTGATATAAAATTGAAAGTTGAAGTACCAAATTGGTATTCTAACCTCAATGCAACAAAATA